CCCCCCCACCCCATGAAAATTTGTTTTTTTAGAACGTCTCAGGAGCCATTTCCCACGTCCTGATGTCTGTTTTCTCGTTTTAATCCGCAAGAAAAAAGTTCTATCTTTTATATATATATATATACCTATTTACGTGGATCCAGCGTAATTCTGAAGATTAACCGTCTGTATTGCTTTGTAAACCATACATACATACATTGTCTGGTTTTTACCTAATCTTGATAAATGCATTTGATACTTCTGCATTAGTGAACATGCAATTGGGTTTGTCTTTCTCATAATCTGATCCGAGTTAATTGGGAAGCGAGGTTACCCCCACTGTCACCTTTACTCAGTCTCCCACACAGTTTCGTCTTCTGTTTGTGCTTTGTGACTGGTTCCTTATAGTTGCTCCTGTTATTTGTTGGGCATTTCGAGAAGCGAGGTTGCCCCCACTATCATCGTCATGCCCAGCTTTGCAGTCTCCCACACCTTTTCGTCTTCTGGTTGTATAAACATTTTGTGGACATGGAAGAAAATTAAAGTTTAGTTTTATATACGTCCATTATAGAAGGTATCATTATGCGCAATCTGACAAAGTAAAAAAATACAAAGCACCGTGATTTTTTAAAATCTATACTTGTCAAAATCATGTGCAAGCCCGGGCTTATTGGCTTACATGGTAGCTACGCGCCTGCACAAGATGTCCATAAAATCAGACATTGGCAAATAACTGATATGGCCTATTCGGTTATGGGGAAAAGGAAAATTTTACCAGAGGATTTGGGGCAGGTTCTGACCCCATCCGAGTGTAAAATTTTCATATCGCGAATACATGCATAATGATAGGCACCTTTCCTCAAATATTTCTTACCCAGGAAATATTTCTTAAAGGAAATGTTGTAAATGCAACAATTAATGTCATAGCATTTCTTATTACATTAACAATCTCGTTACAACCTGTTAATCTCGTTCCACACATTTAAAACTAGGTCATTGATTTGTTAATGAGAGAAGCATTACATAAATTGTAGTTATTGTTGTTAATTGTTTGATTACCGAACTGACCGATTAACCGGTTACTCGGTCAGAAGATTTTTCGAGTAACCGGTTAGTAAATTTGTCTGGTTTGACAACCCTAATTTTAACATTATAGTGAACACGTTAAAATGACTTTTTTTCTTCAAATTTAACCCAATAGGCTTCTGTACCAGACATTTTCATTTGAAGTGTGGAACCTTTTTTATCCCCTCCCATGGGGAGTGGTGGTGGTGTAATGGGTGTTTGTTCCGTGCGTACATATTTATCACCTTTTTTCATCGCTCTATTGAATTCATATCTGAACATATGAACATTACCATTGTATAAAAAGTGTCCAGCCATGGTTCTAATGAATCGTCATAAATAAATAAATAAATTTAATCAGTTTAGGATAATTATTCAATATTTTCTTTTAATATCTCGCATTCAATAATATGTCTGTCATAACAACAAAAATGGTGTCAACTGTTTTTTAATATACAATTTAGCTTGAAAACTTAAATATGGTTTTCAATGCACTGCAAAAGAAGTGCGGGAGTATCTATCCTAGTTAATTCCCGAAGTATTTCATACACTGATATTACCTTTTTCATTAAAGAGTTCCAAATAGGGCCCCTTATGTATCAACAAACACATTCTTAGTTAAGTACGTTCTCAAATGTTTAAGAACGCCTTCGAGATACAACAACTTTAGAAATTCTCAGCTAAGTACGTACTTAGCTTAAGAATGGAAAGTTAAGAATTGAGAATTAAGAAGTTTCGAGATTCCGGGGCCAGGTGTAATAGTTAATCTTTTGTTTAACAACACACCTGATATGTTTACAGGTGTAATAGTTAATCATTTGTTTAACCACACACCTGGTAGGTTAACAGGTGTAATAGTTAATCATTTGTTTAACCACACACCTGGTAGGTTAACAGGGGAAATAGTTAATCTTTTGTTTAACCTCACACCTGATAGGTTAACAGGTGTAATAGTTAATCTTTTGTTTAACAACACACCTGATATGTTTACAGGGGTAATAGTTAATCTTTTGTTTAACCACACACCTGGTAGGTTAACAGGTGTAATAGTTAATCTTTTGTTTAACAACACTCCTGATATGTTTACAGGGGTAATAGTTAATCATTTGTTTAACCACACACCTGGTAGTTTAACAGGTGTAATAGTTAATCTTTTGTTTAACCACACACCTGGTAGGGGACAATACTCTGATGTGCTGTACCATACCGCCGAGCCTCTTGTCCTGCATTTAAATAGTTGGAGCCCAGATTTACCAAGGAGGCCACCTATGGAGGTAATAGAAATAGGTTTTTCAATGATTACCTTTCAGATAGGTAAAAGAAATAGGTTTTTCAATAATTACCTTATAGATATCTTATCTTTGCATTTTATATTTTGAAACATTACTAAAAAGTTTACCCAGTTACTTTTCTTGTTGTATGACGTGAACAGTGATATTTAGTGTGAAATTAACTCCCCTGAGGTCTGCAAACTCTTTAGAGGTCAAACATCAGGTCTACATATCAAACATTGTTCTGGTGATCACCCACCTGTGTTGACAAAAGTTCACAATCTATGTGCTGACCTTTCCCTGTGCTGATGATCACTCACCTGTGTTGACACAAGGTCACAGTCTATGTGTTGACCTTTCCCTGTCCTAATGGTCACTCACCTGTGATGACAAAAGGTCACAGTCTATGTGTTGACCTTTGCCTGTCCAAATAGTCACTCACCTGTGATGACAAAAGGTCACAGTCTTTGTGTTGACCTTTGCCTGTCCTAATGGTCACTCATCTGTGTTGACACAAGGTCACAGTCTATGTGTTGACCTTTGCCTGTCGAAATAGTCACTCACCTGTGATGACAAAAGGTCACAGTCTATGTGCTGACCTTTCCCTTTCCTAATGGTCACTCACCTGTGTTGACACAAGGTCACAGTCTATGTGTTGACCTTTGCCTGTCGAAATAGTCACTCACCTGTGATGACAAAAGGTCACAGTCTATGTGCTGACCTTTCCCATTCCTAATGGTCACTCACCTGTGTTGACACAAGGTCACAGTCTATGTGTTGACCTTTGCCCGTACGCTGTCTCTGTAGAATAGCAGCCATGATTGCCCCATGAGCATACAGTCCGGTAGATAGGTCTGTCATAGCCACGCCTACTTTACAGGGCTCTCCATCCTGTCAAAGATAACACATTACCTAGCTAGGCTGCACCTATTTTCATGTTCTTTGAGTGATACTGCTAAGTCATGTATTAAGCTGTATATTGCACAATTACAGCACAAAATTGATGTATAAACACTAAACAGTTGGCTTTAACTTAATGGTTGTTTTACATTGATCTATTCCATGAACACAGACAATGTAGGACCATTCTACATCATGTTAACAAGACATCGTTATTCAACGACATTTATTTTCTCTAGACATTACACAGATGTAGACATCCACTCACAAACTAACATGCACTCTTGATTGTATTCTGCAATGTCAGACAAAGACTTAAATGTGATATTACTTAAATACTGCAGAAGTGAAAATGCTCGGGTCTTTAGGGTTAAATAAATCAGCACAAATTATCCACATATGAATATATATAGTTTATGTAGATAATAGATGATAGAATATACAGGCTTCAGAACCATTAACATGCATTAGGCAGGTTTAGCATGTACATCCAATACCATGTAATGTAGTATAAACGCGACTCTGATTTGGGTATCGTATATTGTACATCCAATACCATGTACTGTAGAATAAAGGCGACTCTGATTTGGGTATCGTATATTGTACATCCAATACCATGTACTGTAATATAAAGGCGACTCTGATTTGGGTATCGTATACCATGTACTGTAGTATAAAGGCGACTCTGATTTGGGTATCGTATATTGTATATCCAATACCATGTACTGTAGTATAAAGGTGACTCTGATTTGGGTATCGTATATTGTACATCCAATACCATGTACTGTAGTATAAAGGTGACTCTGATTTGGGTATCGTATATTGTAGATCCAATACCATGTACTGTAATATAAAGGCGACTCTGATTTGGGGATCGTATACCATGTACTGTAGTATAAAGTCCACTCTGATTTGGGTATCGTATACCATGTACTGTAGTATAAAGGCGACTCGGATTTGGGTATCGTATACCATGTACTGTAGTATAAAGGCCACTCTGATTTGGGTATCGTATATTTGTGACTACAGTAACTACATCTTTCTACTTCCTTTTGTGCCCTTGACATCTACCACCTTATAAATTTCACGTGGAAGCATTAAGTCTGATACAGCCCATTAATGTTGATGGGCTGTTTAGATCAATCAGTAGAATGAGGTCAAAGAGGTCAGACAGATACTCTACCATCGGCCCTGTAATGTGAAGTAATCCTCCGAGTCCTGCGGCTATGATGTCATATCCTGCTCGCTGCTGATAGGGCCCCGTCTGACCATATCCTGTAAAACAACAGTTCTGTTCATAAAAGACATTACATTGAAAACATTTTTTTATATTCTGTCATTCTAAAACGATTTATTTTTCATGAAGGTTTCTGAAATACATGATATATTCACTAGAATTGTAAATTATTGCAATTATTAAAACATTTTTTCCAATTCTGTACGCTATTCCAAACATATTTTGAACCTGCTGAAGAAATAATTCTTGAAAATGGACCTATCAGAGCGGAAGATAGGTCACAAATGGGAAACTTGTTAGGGAGGGATTTTTAGAATGACTGGGAGACTAACCTGAAATAGAACAGTAGATGAGGCTTGGATGGGTGGCTGCCAACTGGCTGTATCCTAGACCCATCTTGTCCAGCTTCCCAGGAATGTAATTCTCTACCAGCACATCACACTGCCTCACCAACTACAACAGAACAGAAGTCACCAGTCTGAAAACATTGTTTCATTTCTTTCCTTTCCAAGTCTCACAAGCTAACAACAGAACAGATAAGAAGTCTCTCAACCTGAAAACATTGTTTCACTTTTTACAGATGTAGAGTAATAGGATAAATACCAGAAAACATTCTATGAAGAGCCTAATAACACATCAAGTTGAGGAGAGATCAGTAAGAAATGTAGTACAGTTCTACATACCTTCTGGACAATTTCTTGACCATCCTTCTGTTTAAGGTCAATAGCAATACTCTGAGGAAGAACAAATATGCCATACATTAGTGGTAACAGAGGTCCCATGGTAATATGTGAAGTAATTTGGTATTACTACTTGTCGTAAAAATCTACAGCATGTTGAATGAATAAATTTATAAAAGATATATTTCATTTCAAACCTGACTGAGCTTCCTTTAAAGATAAATGTATCTTTCTGTTACTGTAACACTATTTATGCTGGTACTGTATCTAGATGGGTATGACATGTCCAAATAGTAATGTTAGTATGGATGAAATACGTCGTCGGAGTTCCCGTTACACAAGCTGTTTAAATCATAACCTTTTTGTTCCTGTTGACAGAGAGGAAGTAAGCACTCTCTGATCCACAAAATGGTGGCCCCCAGGATCTGGTGTCATCACCGACCCCTAAAAACATGTGAAGGTCATGTATCAACAGTTAACATAAATACCAAACAGGTAAGGGAATCCGGGAAAAGTCTATGAGGAGGTTATTCTCCTTCTGTACAAGTATGTATTATATAATACTGTAAAATTGCTTCTCTTTCAAGTAATAATTATATTCACATCAATTCATGTTAATTCATACAACTTGAACAGTAAAGTGTGTCAGAAATATCCACAATCTTATGTAATACACAGTACTTACCAGGTCTCTCTACCTTGATAACATCAGCACCTAGATCAGCCAGGATCATAGTACAGTACGGTCCTGCCAGTACCCTGTAATACAAAGACACTCGTACATCAGATCAGTCAGGATCATAGTACAGTACAGCCCTGCCAGTACCCTGTAATACAAAGACACTCATACATCAGATCAGTCAGGATCATAGTACAGTATGGCCCTGCCAGTACCCTGTAATACAAAGACACTCATACATCAGATCAGTCAGGATCATAGTACAGTACGGCCCTGCCAGTACCCTGTAATACAAAGACACTCATACATCAGATCAGTCAGGATCATAGTACAGTACGGCCCTGCCAGTACCCTGTAATACAAAGACACTCATACATCAGATCAGTCAGGATCATAGTACAGTACGGCCCTGCCAGTACCCTGTAATACAAAGACACTCATACATCAGATCAGTCAGGATCATAGTACAGTACGGCCCTGCCAGTACCCTGTAATACAAAGACACTCATACATCAGATCAGTCAGGATCATAGTACAGTACGGCCCTGCCAGTACCCTGTAATACAAAGACACTCATACATCAGATCAGTCAGGATCATAGTACAGTACGGCCCTGCCAGTACCCTGTAATACAAAGACACTCATACATCAGATCAGTCAGGATCATAGTACAGTACGGCCCTGCCAGTACCCTGTAATACAAAGACACTCATACATCAGATCAGTCAGGATCATAGTACAGTACGGCCCTGCCAGTACCCTGTAATACAAAGACACTCATACATCAGATCAGTCAGGATCATAGTACAGTACGGCCCTGCCAGTACCCTGTAATACAAAGACACTCATACATCAGATCAGTCAGGATCATAGTACAGTACGGCCCTGCCAGTACCCTGTAATACAAAGACACTCATACATCAGATCAGTCAGGATCATAGTACAGTACGGCCCTGCCAGTACCCTGTAATACAAAGACACTCATACATCAGATCAGTCAGGATCATAGTACAGTACGGCCCTGCCAGTACCCTGTAATACAAAGACACTCATACATCAGATCAGTCAGGATCATAGTACAGTACGGCCCTGCCAGTACCCTGTAATACAAAGACACTCATACATCAGATCAGTCAGGATCATAGTACAGTACGGCCCTGCCAGTACCCTGTAATACAAAGACACTCATACATCAGATCAGTCAGGATCATAGTACAGTACGGCCCTGCCAGTACCCTGTAATACAAAGACACTCATACATCAGATCAGTCAGGATCATAGTACAGTACGGCCCTGCCAGTACCCTGTAATACAAAGACACTCATACATCAGATCAGTCAGGATCATAGTACAGTACGGCCCTGCCAGTACCCTGTAATACAAAGACACTCATACATCAGATCAGCCAGGATCATAGTACAGTACGGCCCTGCCAGTACCCTGTAATACAAAGACACTCATACATCAGATCAGTCAGGATCATAGTACAGTACGGCCCTGCCAGTACCCTGTAATACAAAGACACTCATACATCAGATCAGTCAGGATCATAGTACAGTACGGCCCTGCCAGTACCCTGTAATACAAAGACACTCATACATCAGATCAGTCAGGATCATAGTACAGTACGGCCCTGCCAGTACCCTGTAATACAAAGACACTCATACATCAGATCAGTCAGGATCATAGTACAGTACGGCCCTGCCAGTACCCTGTAATACAAAGACACTCATACATCAGATCAGTCAGGATCATAGTACAGTACGGCCCTGCCAGTACCCTGTAATACAAAGACACTCATACATCAGATCAGTCAGGATCATAGTACAGTACGGCCCTGCCAGTACCCTGTAATACAAAGACACTCGTACATCAGATCAGTCAGGATCATAGTACAGTACGGCCCTGCCAGTACCCTGTAATACAAAGACACTCATACATCAGATCAGTCAGGATCATAGTACAGTACGGCCCTGCCAGTACCCTGTAATACAAAGACACTCATACATCAGATCAGTCAGGATCATAGTACAGTACGGCCCTGCCAGTACCCTGTAATACAAAGACACTCATACATCAGATCAGTCAGGATCATAGTACAGTACGGCCCTGCCAGTACCCTGTAATACAAAGACACTCATACATCAGATCAGTCAGGATCATAGTACAGTACGGCCCTGCCAGTACCCTGTAATACAAAGACACTCATACATCAGATCAGTCAGGATCATAGTACAGTACGGCCCTGCCAGTACCCTGTAATACAAAGACACTCATACATCAGATCAGTCAGGATCATAGTACAGTACGGCCCTGCCAGTACCCTGTAATACAAAGACACTCATACATCAGATCAGTCAGGATCATAGTACAGTACGGCCCTGCCAGTACCCTGTAATACAAAGACACTCATACATCAGATCAGTCAGGATCATAGTACAGTACGGCCCTGCCAGTACCCTGTAATACAAAGACACTCATACATCAGATCAGTCAGGATCATAGTACAGTACGGCCCTGCCAGTACCCTGTAATACAAAGACACTCGTACATCAGATCAGTCAGGATCATAGTACAGTACGGCCCTGCCAGTACCCTGTAATACAAAGACACTCATACATCAGATCAGTCAGTATCATAGTACAGTACGGCCCTGCCAGTACCCTGTAATACAAAGACACTCATACATCAGATCAGTCAGGATCATAGTACAGTACGGCCCTGCCAGTACCCTGTAATACAAAGACACTCATACATCAGATCAGTCAGGATCATAGTACAGTACGGCCCTGCCAGTACCCTGTAATACAAAGACACTCATACATCAGATCAGTCAGGATCATAGTACAGTACGGCCCTGCCAGTACCCTGTAATACAAAGACACTCATACATCAGATCAGTCAGGATCATAGTACAGTACGGCCCTGCCAGTACCCTGTAATACAAAGACACTCATACATCAGATCAGTCAGGATCATAGTACAGTACGGCCCTGCCAGTACCCTGTAATACAAAGACACTCATACATCAGATCAGTCAGGATCATAGTACAGTACGGCCCTGCCAGTACCCTGTAATACAAAGACACTCATACATCAGATCAGTCAGGATCATAGTACAGTACGGCCCTGCCAGTACCCTGTAATACAAAGACACTCATACATCAGATCAGTCAGGATCATAGTACAGTACGGCCCTGCCAGTACCCTGTAATACAAAGACACTCATACATCAGATCAGTCAGGATCATAGTACAGTACGGCCCTGCCAGTACCCTGTAATACAAAGACACTCATACATCAGATCAGTCAGGATCATAGTACAGTACGGCCCTGCCAGTACCCTGTAATACAAAGACACTCATACATCAGATCAGTCAGGATCATAGTACAGTACGGCCCTGCCAGTACCCTGTAATACAAAGACACTCATACATCAGATCAGTCAGGATCATAGTACAGTACGGCCCTGCCAGTACCCTGTAATACAAAGACACTCGTACATCAGATCAGTCAGGATCATAGTACAGTACGGCCCTGCCAGTACCCTGTAATACAAAGACACTCATACATCAGATCAGTCAGTATCATAGTACAGTACGGCCCTGCCAGTACCCTGTAATACAAAGACACTCATACATCAGATCAGTCAGGATCATAGTACAGTACGGCCCTGCCAGTACCCTGTAATACAAAGACACTCATACATCAAATCAGTCAGTATCATAGTACAGTACGGTCCTGCCAGTACCCTGTTATACAAAGACACTCGTACATCAGATCAGACAGTATCATAGTACAGTACGGCCCTGCCAGCCTTGTAATACAAAGACACTCGTACATCAGATCAGTCAGGATCACAGTACAGTACAATCCCCCTAGTTCCCAGTAATACATGTACAAAGATACCCATATTGTGCATCAGTCAGGATCATAAGGTTCAATATAGATCAGTGACACCTGTACAGTGAATTTTATGTATTGAGGAACATGGGATGATGTCAAAATCATGTCATCCACTGACAAAGAAGATATCAGGAAATGGTGTCCAGGCCTGCAGATACATCTACAAGATATAAATAGCAATTATATTTCAGCTAGCTTAATGAGTTGTGGCTCTGTAACCAGCCCCTCCCTTCTTTTAAATAAAAAAAATGTCTAAATTACTAATTATAAGCCGAGGCACATTCATTTTCCACCAATATTCACTCAGATGAAATAACATCAGGAGACCTTAAAAAATCTTAACCCAATTCCCTCACCCCCACCTTTCAAATTTCTAGATTTGCCCTTGTTTTGACAATTATCATATAAGTTAACTAAACATACATTCATTACAATAGGGTTTATTTTTACCTTGTCAAGTCGAGAACTCGGATTCCATCCAGAGGCCCAATGGAGGAGTTTTGTTTTTGTACTGCAGCTTAAAAAGCAATAAAATTTTGAGTTTTTATTCTGAAAAGGGAAAATTGCTCTTAAAATTAAGAACCCTTAGCATTTGCTTCAAAATTGTTAATATAATTTGTATGGATTGCTTCCGAAACATTTTATTGATTGTTTTTATCATTCATTGGTCAGTTTAATTGTTTATTTCTGAAAATGGAAATAGGATACAAGAGAAAAATATTCAAAAACACAACTGATTTTTTTTAATTTACACTTTCCTTCTGGAAATTTAGCATTTCAAAGGAGATAACTATGAACCATTTAAATAACAAGTGAAATATCAAATGTTTTTTTTAACAAATGACAAGTTTAAGTCGCTAGATCTAATATGAAGCTAAGAAAAATTGTATCATTTTTGGAGATAAATAAATACTAATCATAAATTTTAATGAGATATTTTTAAGTTATAAAAAATGTGTTAATCTGAGATACCTTGTTAAGACAAAAAACAAGTTATAGAGTCTATATCTCTGTAAATTACATTTTAGCACCATATAAAACCAAAACTCAACTTCAAGAGTTTTTAAGATATACGTACATATCTACTATAAAAAATATTTTAAAATGAGAAAAATAATATAAAAATGCTATCTTCTTTAAGCTATAATTTAACCATTAAATGGCAAATTGGCACTGTGATTGAACCTCATGAATTATTTATCACTAAACCTATTGAAATTATTTATTCCATTTTACTTTTTATAATGGTACAATGAATGCTAGTTATTTCATTTATAAATTGAACTTCACTGTATTATATCGGCCACAATCAAAAATATAATCAAAACTGGACAGGATTGATCATCAAGACCCTACGGATGTGGCAAAACTGTACTGGGCTGATAGTAGGTGACCAAAGCTCCATTTGTTCGAGAGTTTGTCTAGAACTCAGAGGTCATGGCTTCAAATCCCAATCTGGGCATTTAGCTGGATAAAGCTTGTACCTACAGCTAGTGTTTGGGTATTGAAATGTTATTAGACCCATTTCATACATGCCAACTCTCCCTATTCAGGAGAGTGACTCTTGATTTTGGACCCTAAATTTGATATTTCCAACTAATGAAATTGCCAAACTATTCTTATATACTCGAAGATCTAATTATTTCATCTCAAAAGGTGTTATTTAAAGGGGTTCTTTTGTCCCTTGGGTCATATGCAGATATCTATTTATATTTTTAATTTTGAGTACATGGAATCTCCCCAATGAAAATTTCATGAGGTTTGCAAGTATGCCATTTGATTTTCTACTCCTATAGTGTTCTTATTGGTGCCTTAACTGAAGGAAGATATTGTAAAATATTTTGTCTAGCGGTTACAGATTGAATAAACACGCCAGAATTTTTTGAGAGAGGGAGTAGTGTATGGGAACTGGTTCAAAATTTACAGTTGGATCCTTTGGATTTTTTCCGATCATGATAAAGAAGTTTACACAACCATCCTTATCAGAAAGTGGGCGTTTCCCTCTTCACAACCACATGTACGGGATTAAATTATCTTCTTCCATTACAAGGATCAGAACTCCAAGGTAGGAGTGCAATTGACCCTTTGGCAACTCTTTGGTGTTTCGTGCAACTCAGAGGAGGTTGAGGTAAGTAAATATCCATTGTTTTCTATTTTAAACCATAGAAGGATACGCCATTTAAATAGTGTATATATTGGAAAAAAATCAACACAGTCTATATTGAATGTGAAATTCATTATTTACAGTGAAAAGGCCATTATATTTATCTGTTTATAATCATTTACTACAGCTGTTCAATGCTGAGGAAAAAGACTATACATCTTGCATCAGAATAACTTCAATAAGTCCGTGTCAGAATTAACCGAGAGGGACGTTAACGTGTCACACTGATAACACTACCGTTCACATTTGGAGAGTGTGTTGTAAAACTGCATTGGGGTCTTCGTTGTTTAAATTTGTTGCAAATACAAATTCGAACAAATGATCTGTTTATTAATGCTGCCATTGCCGAAACCTTCAGTCACGTAAACAAATGAGACTGATCTCCCTTTATAATCTTTCAGTCAATTGAACGTTTGTTTGCAACAAAAACAACATTAAAGCGCCTGTGGTAAGAAGACAACGTAACTCTAAAACATGGAAGCCGCACAAGCACGTGTTCAAAATGCTGTCACTGCCAGGAGCGAAGAGTTGGAGAAAGGACAGATCAGGAGTGTTGAGGTAAATGGTATTGTATTGATATGGCTCATTTCAATTTAGCTTGGTATGGTTTACACGTAGAGAGATTGTGACAATGATACTGCTGCCGTGACCTCTAAGAACACACCACAGGCCGCTTTCGTTTTTCGCTATCCAAACGGTTTGACCAGAGTTGTTCTTATGTAATAGGGCAAGGAAAAGTGATAAAGATAGTGCCGGCGCTGGGGCTCGAACCCGCGACCCATGGCTGTCCAGCCCGATGCTCTACCGCTGAGCTAAAGGGAAATTCCCTACAGCTGACGCTTGTAAGGCACCCTAATTAATACACATCTTTTACACTAATCCCCCCCCCTTTTTTTTTAAATATCAACCCAGGTTCTTTGACTCCCCGCCAAGGGTTCTCCTAACTTGAACGGGGAGTGTTAACGGCACCAGTTTGTAATAGGACGAGGAAAAGTAATAATGATAGTGCCGTTGCTGGGGCTCGAACCTGCGACCCTTGGCTCTCCAGCCTGGTGCTCTACCGCTAAACTAAAGGGAAATTCCCTACAGCTGACGCTTGCAAGGCAACCTAATCAATGCACTTGTATGAAATAAGGTCGGACCTAGTAAGCTGATGCTTCTCTCAAACGAGTTGCTAGGCCTGCATAAACAGTTGAAGGTCCGCCAGGATTTATACCGAAAATGTTTCATTTAAAAAAAGACAAACTGGTTGTTCCGCATAAATGAACACACCCAAGACTGGTGTGCCTGACACACGGACCTGTAATATAGAATCAGTGTACAAGTATCCGGTTTTTTGCCGTAAAAGAAAGCGACAGAGTTTGCGAAATGTGATAACATTGACTGATACTCCTGTAGCAGAACTAGACTGGGACTATCGACGGTGACCAGGTAGCTCAATTGGTAGATTATCCGTCTAGAGTTCGGAAGGTCCCGGGTTCGAACCCCGGTCTGGCTGTGCATTTTCCTCTCCTGTAACACTCCAACTTACAAGTCAATTTTCTTAAATCAGTCAGACAACTTGAACAACTTCTTCTAAAGAACCGAAATGCATATAGCCATAGACAAATTGTTGGAAAAATAACTACAAATGTTTCGTCAAGAAATGACTTCATCATATAGACCATAGGTCAAATTTGTTAAAAAGTTCAAATGTCTTCTGATGAAAAACCAAAATAGATTGATATTTGGTCAGATGCTTGCTGGAAAAAAGTGTAAACAGAAATCGCCTTGAACTCTTTTCAGGATCATAAGAGTAAGATTTAAATCTGTCAATTTATATTTGGCCAGTAGACTGGCTACCAGCCCCTAAGTTTTTATGAAGAATTTCTCAACTGCATTTTACTACTAGCTTATCTCCCCTTAGTTAGAACTGATCAGACATCCAAGTGATCAAAATTATTAGAGTTCATTTTTTTCTAAATAATACAATATTCTAGAGATGGGGGCCAGTAGCATACCAAGCATGGTGTTACAAAGTTTGTAACAAGAAATAACCTTGATTTATTTCGAAGATTACAGAGGTCAAAATATTTGAAACAGTAAAAACACTATTGAATATTACTTTTCTATAAGAACTAAAAAAACAACTAACAAAGAACAGAAAGGGCTAGAGTTATTATGCTGGGATGGAGTGCTACCATGTTTATGAAAGGAAATGGCCTTAACCACAAGATAAATATGTTAAACACTCGAACATAATTTTGTATCAACGATGGGTCTGAACCCCCTGGGGGCAGAGGGGCAAGGCCCTAAAGGGGAAACCTAGCAATTTCTTCGAAATCCTCCATTTACTATAGGAATGACAGGATTTGGACAATTACATATACATATAACCCCTGACTAACCATGTAATATACTACCAGCAACATCTGGCTATTATAACTTCAACTTTGCTAACATTTCCAGGTGAGCGATACAGGCCCTCTTATTAGGTTATTAGGTAAGCAACACGGGCCCATTTGGCCTCTTGTAATAGACATACTAATGGTCATATTGGCCGTGTGTTTATCTATCTGGCAACATTATCCACTTGCAAGGTCAGCAGAGTATATTTGACCTGTGGTTAGATCAATTTTTCACTGGTAATTCTATGCTGATATTTAAACACACTATATGTGTTTCAGGCCGAGATGTACAAATGTAACCTGAAGTGTGTGGAGAACCAGTCTTACTCGGTGGAGGACAAGGACCACTGTCTGGAACGCTGCTCCTCTAGAATGATGCAGATACAGAAATATGTACAGTCTGAAATGGAGGCCTACCAGGTATTCATATTTAAATACAGAAATATGTACAGTCTGAAATGGAGGCCTACCAAGTATTCATATCTAAGTTATGTGGGAGATACAGAAATATGTACAGTCTGAAATGGAGGCCTAGCAGGTATTAATATCTAAATACAGAAATAGGTACAGTCTGAAATGGAGGCCTACCAGGTTTTCATATCTAAATACAGAAATATGTACAGTCTGAAATAGAGGCCTACCAGGTATTAATATCTAAATACAGAAATATGTACAGTCTGAAATGGAGGCCTACCAGGTATTAATATCTAAGTTATGTGGGAGATACAGAAATATGTACAGTCTGAAATGGAGGCCTACCAGGTATTCATATCTAAATTATGTGGGAGATACAGAAATATGTACAGTCTGAAATGGAGGCCTACCAGGTATTCATATCTAAATTATGTGGGAGATACAGAAATATGTACAGTCTGAAATGGAGGCCTACCAGGTATTCATATCTAAATTATGTGGGAGATACAGAAATATGTACAGTCTGAAATGGAGGCCTACCAGGTATTCATATCTAAATTATGTGGGAGATACAGAAATATGTACAGTCTGAAATGGAGGCCTACCAGGTATTCATATCTAAATTATGTGGGAGATACAGAAATATGTACAGTCTGAAATGGAGGCCTACCAGGTATTCATATCTAAATTATGTGGGAGATACAGAAATATGTACAGTCTGAAATGGAGGCCTACCAGGTATTCATATCTAAATTATGTGGGAGATACAGAAATATGTACAGTCTGAAATGGAGGCCTACCAGGTATTCATATCTAAATTATGTGGGAGATACAGAAATATGTGTGCAGTCTGAAATGGAGGCCTACCAGGTATTAATATCTAAGTTATGTGGGAGATACAGAAATATTTAGTCTGAAATGGAGGCCTACCAGGATACAGAAATATGTACAGTCTGAAATGGAGGCCTACCAGGTATTCATATCTAAATTACGTGGGAGATACAGAAATATGTACAGTCTGAAATGGAGGCCTACCAGGTATTCATATCTAAATACAGAAATATGTACAGTCTGAAATGGAGGCCTACCAGGTATTCATATCTAAATACAGAAATATGTACAGTCTGAAATGGAGGCCTACCAGGTATTCATATCTAAATACAGAAATATGTACAGTCTGAAATGGAGGCCTACCAGGTATTCATATCTAAATACAGAAATATGTACAGTCTGAAATGGAGGCCTACCAGGTATTAATATCTAAGTTATGTGGGAGATACAGAAATATGTACAGTCTGAAATGGAGGCCTACCAGGTATTCATATCGTAAATTATGTGGGAGATACAGAAATATGTACTGTCTGAAATGGAGGCCTACCAGGTACTCATATCTAAGTTATGTGGGAGATATAGAAATATGTACAGTCTGAAATGGAGACCTACCAGGTACTCATATCTAAGTTATGTGGGAGATACAGAATATGTTGAATTAGAAATGGAGGCCTACTTAGTTGAAATGTTAGAGATACATATAAAGGTCTGGTCAGCAATAGAGATGGTTCAGTAATTACTTCACTAACAGTAACTTCCGTGGGAGAGGTTTTAAAACAGCATTAACAAATCTAGGTTCTTTTTTGTACAGCTGTGGCAGATTTGGTCGTTAGTTGCGCATGTCTCATTTTCATCTAGATCAGGCAAAAAAGATGGCCACAAGGCAGACATCTTGAATTTGACAACTGAAGTTTGTTGTTGCTTTTCTGTGAAAGTGCAGATCTATCTCAAATTTTGTCAATAGGTTTTTCCTGTTCTCTAGTTATACATATTTCATTTGAAAAAAAATGGTTTTGTCAGAAGGAAAAGACAGCTACCAGAAATCAGTAATATATCTTGTTCTTCTTTACAATTACTATTCTAGCCAATAGAAATTTTGACCAAAATAACCACAAAATGTATTTACTGTCACGTCTATCAACCCTACAGGTAAGACAAAAGATTGTAGGAGATGAAGCAAATAAAGATCATATAAAAAATTGTAATATCATCCTCAGAAAAAATATCGTACCTTTTGGTATGCAATTTATTTTTATTTTTTCTTGAAAATATTTTCCCTTTGCTTATATATATATAGAGCAGGAGTTCTGACTCAAACAGTGCATATTGATACTAAACGCCAATAAAAATGTTAGGGTAGGCACACAAATCTAGGTTAGGTAGGGTTAGCAAACAAGATTTTTTTTATTTGGCCTTACTAGCTACAGTGCAGGGCTATGGACTTTCATTAAACATGACTTTTATTTAGTAATTCCTAGAGTCTGAGTCTGAAATGGAGGCCTGCCAGGTATAAATATTTAAATACAGAAATATGTACAGTCTGAAATGGAGGCCTACCAGGTATTCATATCTAAATTATGTGGGAGATACAGAAATATGTACAGTCTGAAATGGAGGCCTACCAGGTATTCATATCTAAGTATGTGGGAGATACAGAAATATGTACAGTCTGAAATGGAGGCCTACCAGGTATTCATATCTAAGTATGTGGGAGATACAGAAATATGTACAGTCTGAAATGGAGGCCTACCAGGTATTCATATCTAAGTATGTGGGAGATACAGAAATATGTACAGTCTGAAATGGAGGCCTACCAGGTATTCATATCTAAGTATGTGGGAGATACAGAAATATGTACAGTCTGAAATGGAGGCCTACCAGGTATTCATATCTAAGTATGTGGGAGATACAGAAATATGTACAGTCTGAAATGGAGGCCTACCAGGTATTCATATCTAAGTATGTGGGAGATACAGAAATATGTACAGTCTGAAATGGAGGCCTACCAGGTATTCATATCGTAAATTATGTGGGAGATACAGAAATATGTACTGTCTGAAATGGAGGCCTACCAGGTACTCATATCTAAGTTATGTGGGAGATATAGAAATATGTACAGTCTGAAATGGAGACCTACCAGGTACTCATATCTAAGTTATGTGGGAGATACAGAATATGTTGAATTAGAAATGGAGGCCTACTTAGTTGAAATGTTAGAGATACATATAAAGGTCTGGTCAGCAATAGAGATGGTTCAGTAATTACTTCACTAACAGTAACTTCCGTGGGAGAGGTTTTAAAACAGCATTAACAAATCTAGGTTCTTTTTTGTACAGCTGTGGCAGATTTGGTCGTTAGTTGCGCATGTCTCATTTTCATCTAGATCAGGCAAAAAAGATGGCCACAAGGCAGACATCTTGAATTTGACAACTGAAGTTTGTTGTTGCTTTTCTGTGAAAGTGCAGATCTATCTCAAATTTTGTCAATAGGTTTTTCCTGTTCTCTAGTTATACATATTTCATTTGAAAAAAAATGGTTTTGTCAGAAGGAAAAGACAGCTACCAGAAATCAGTAATATATCTTGTTCTTCTTTACAATTACTATTCTAGCCAATAGAAATTTTGACCAAAATAACCACAAAATGTATTTACTGTCACGTCTATCAACCCTACAGGTAAGACAAAAGATTGTAGGAGATGAAGCAAATAAAGATCATATAAAAAATTGTAATATCATCCTCAGAAAAAATATCGTACCTTTTGGTATGCAATTTATTTTTATTTTTTCTTGAAAATATTTTCCCTTTGCTTATATATATATAGAGCAGGAGTTCTGACTCAAACAGTGCATATTGATACTAAACGCCAATAAAAATGTTAGGGTAGGCACACAAATCTAGGTTAGGTAGGGTTAGCAAACAAGATTTTTTTTATTTGGCCTTACTAGCTACAGTGCAGGGCTATGGACTTTCATTAACCATGACTTTTATTTAGTAATTCCTAGAGCCAGCTACTACAATGTACAAGGAACTGTGTCTGACCATAATAACTTCTTGATGTATTATTATTCCTAGAACCGACTACAGCGTTGTGCTATGGACTGTCAGGACAAAGCCCGGGACAAAATGCCAGCTTCACCAAAGGACGGAGTGGTGGACAAGATTCGAGGAGAACTAGAAAAGTGTATGATAAATTGTGCCGACTCCCACGTCGAACTAGTCGGACCAATGTTTAAACGTATGGGAAAATCTATAGCCAGCAACAAATACTCCTAACTCTTATCATCAGTGTCATCAAATCAATTACGTGTGGTTTTCTAGTTAAGCATATGTGTGACTGAGCAGTGTAAAATAGGACACAGGATGTTGATACCAAAGTTTCATGTTGATGAAACAGGATGAATTATCGGATTTACCACTACGAAAGAATGAAAGAGAATGAAATAAATATCGTACTTCACAAGGAAACTTATGTGTTCATCAGAAAATTTGCTTCTGAAGTATATTTGTGCATATTTATCTGTAAATTATGAAATATAGATTTTTTTTCTACTGTAAAACACCATTAAATGTTTTCAAAAAATTATGTTCCAACCTCAGATGAAGAGGTGTGTACTATGATCACTAAGGGATTATGTAACATTCTTGGGTATATACACTTTAATAAGTTTGTCATGTCACGGGGTGAAATCATTCAAATGTACTAAATAAAGTAGACGGCGATATACTTGGGAGCAGGCCACCTGTCTAATTTTGTTACAAATGCTATAGTGCGACTACCGGTAACTGAAATGGATATAATTAAGGAAAATATTTCTGTTTTGGCGACAGGTTATTAGGTGACAACTTCAGTTTTAGAACTTGTAATTTAAAACTTGTAATTTAAATAATTTAGACAACTTGTGTAACTATTTTTATCCATTATTCTGATCAGCAGACACAAATTCATTTGCAAAACATGATGGGTTTCAGTAAGAGTATTAGCCTGAAATTTGCACAAGCCATGCATGGTTAATTCTGTCCACATCTACTGTTGACAATGCGACACAATTGTATCCTGTTGGCTGGACCTATGTGTACTGTTGTCAACATCATGTAAACAAGTTTCATTCTATGGTCAGGTTATGAAGCTCACAATTGTTATTAAGCGGTTGTCCGTGTTTTCGAGTCTTATGTAATGAATATTGGTCCATGTGATGTGGGTACCAAATAATTACAATAAGTTCATTTCATTTTCCACGTTTTTTGTGTATGAACCTTTTTTTGTGTATGAACCTATCAAAATTGGACCATTAGTAAAATTTTGTATCGTAGAGATTGATTTACTCATTTTCTAGAGGATCATGATATTGTATTTGTGATTGTAAATATATCTTGGAGAAAAATAGAATAATTATATATCTTGGGAGAAAAATAGAATAATCAAATATCATTGATTGTCTATGTTTTCACTTTAAACGGTTTAACATAGAGCTTAGGCATGGAAATGGAATGGTTATCTGTATGGCAGGTCTCCGGGGGTTCTGTACAGCAGCGACGGGTCTGTGGGGGTTCTGTACAGCAGTGACGGGTCTGTGGGGGTTCTGTTCTGTACAGCAGCGACGGGTCTGTGGGGGTTCTGTTCAGCAACGGGTCTGTGGGGTTCTGTACAGCAGTGACGGGTCTGTGGGGGTTCTGTACAGCAGCGACGGGTCTGTAGGGGTTCTGTACGGCAGCGACGGGTCTGTGGGGGTTCTGTTCTTTACAGCAGCGACGGGTCTGTGGGGGTTCTGTACAGCAGCGACGGGTCTATGGAGGTTCTGTACAGCAGCGACGGGTCTGTGGGGGTTCTGTACAGCAGTGACGGCTCTGTACTTCCTGTACAGCAGTAGCACATTGTTTTGTTTGGTTTCTGCATGGCAGTGGGAAGTCTTGGATATTGTATATAACCTGCCATAAAACCTCTGACCTGGTCCCAACCCTCTGAACTGGTTTTCAATATTTCTTGTAAAGAGAATATTTGCAATTACATTACTTGCCAGGTAATAATATCAATCCAATATCCTCCCAACAGATTCGCTAGTTTAGGATACCCTTTCTGCACGATATTGCTGCATGGCAAGGACAGCCCGTAAATATGTTCACCTCGGAAATAGAGCCATTATTGTGTGCTAAATGCGACATCACAACATGGCAAGAGATATTGTCTCCCTTTATACTGAAGTGTCAATTAAAATTTCAGCTTGTACTCAAGACACCCTCGCTTCCTAAACTAGTTATTTCTGAAGCAAGTGGTTGTGCATGTCTATTTTCTGTACATCAGGAAACTTTTGCCCAAATATTGGCCCTTCACAGGGGAAACGAAATTTCGTCCAGTGTCAACTATACATGCACTTGCTATATATGGCAAGTTGTGTACCAATATTTGCCGACAGTAATTTTCTCTCGTTAACGAGGGTGAAAAGCGCACAAGTTGAAACTGCAGCAAATATTTACTTGTGTACATTTCAAATTTAATAACACTTTTTAAAAACATTTTGTACCAAGTTACAATTCAAGAAATCAACAACAACACTCGATACAGAAGGGTTTTTTATTCTCTTGCCGAGGAATAGACGACACAATTTATAATTCATCAAACATACTGGTATCTTTCCCCGTCGTGTCTCGACAACCACTTTCAAGCGACAACCACTTTCAAGCAGTTGCACAAAATACTTTTGGGAAAGTTTCTCGTTTAAAAGTTTTTGACACGTTATTTCCCAACTAAACCCCAATACTGTTGATGCTATAGCAAGTACCTATCCAACAATACAGTCATGCTGTAGTTTAACATAACCATCAATAAATATTGTATATCCGTATACACAACTAAGTGGCTATAATCCAACAAATCAAGAGGAATCGCTCCCAAAAATATTGAGGACAACCTTGGCACATGCAAAATTTAACTGACAGAACATGTATACATTATATATAGAAATTTTTGGCATGATGTATTGTTGTACGAGTAGTACTCTGCGGTAATGTTTGACCATCGGTCAGTTAATGGCTGCCTGTGTAATCGTGAAACCTGCATTTACAACACCAGACCCTCTAATGCGTACATCCAGACATTTCTGTTAAATTAAAAATGTCTTTATCTGAAATCCTGTCCTGTGGACAATCCATACGATTAATTGGCCGTTAGATTTACATAGCTGTAACTATATATACTAAGATTTACATAGCTGTAACTATATATACTACTATGTATACTAAGATTTACATAGCTGTAACTAATATACTAAGATTTACACAGCTGTAACGATATATACTAAGATTTACACAGCTGTAACGATATATACTAAGATTAACATAGCCGTAACTATATATACTAAGATTTACATAGCCGTAACTATATACACTAAGATTTACATAGCCATAACTATATATACTAAGATTTACACAGCTGTAACGATATATACTAAGATTTACACAGCCGTAACTATATATACTAAGATTTACATAGCCGTAACGATATATACCAAGATTTACATAGCTGTAACTAATATACTAAGATTTACACAGCTGTAACGATATATACCAAGATTTACATAGCCGTAACTATATATACTAAGATTTACATAGCCGTAACTATATACACTAAGATTTACATAGCCATAACTATATATACTAAGATTTACTAAGATTTACACAGCCGTAACTATATATACTAAGATTTACATAGCTGTAACTATATATACCAAGATTTACATAGCCGTAACTATATATACTAAGATTTACATAGCTGTAACGATATATACTAAGATTTACATAGCTGTAACTATATATACTAAGATTTACATAGCTGTTACGATATATACTAAGATTAACACAGCCGTAACTATATATACTAAGATTTACATAGCCGTAACTAATATATTAAGATTGACATAGCCGTAACTATATATACTAAGATTTACATAGCCGTAACTATATATACCAAGATTCACATAGCTGTAACGATATATACTAAGATTTACATAGCTGTAACGGTATATACTAAGATTTACATAGCTGTAACTAGATTTACACAGCTGTAACTATATATACTAAGATTTACATAGCTGTTACTATATATACTAAGATTTACATAGCTGTAACTATATGTACTAAGATTTACATAGCTGTAACCAATATACTAGACAGGAATGTATGCACATTTGGTGTAAAAGGTTAAAAAAATACAACAGAAAAAGTACATATATCTAATGAAATTTTTGTTTTGCTATTCTACACCGATGCACATATCTACAGTTATAACATGGTTGGCTACTGTACGTGTAATTGGTTATTTTGTAAAGGGGTATAATTTCGATATATTCATGGTCACCAAAGATGGCACGAAATTAATTACCCGGTGAATATCAATACCATTTACCATGAATATATGGATAGAAGGAAACCGGAAAGACATGTCTACTCTTTTACTGCCTAAAAGCGAAGACAATTATCGTAATTCAAGTTTCTCGATGAATTGCTTGTAAATGAATTGTCTCCCAAATATGTATGAACCCTTGTGAGCACAAAATATTTTTTCCAACAAAGTCATGGGAACGAGTTCTGATTGTCACAACCGCGAAACTACACATATTGACCAGGCTTCACAGTATATACTACATGGAAGCGAATGTACATATATTTCGTAAAAAGATAAGTTTGGTATTCTACACAAACCTAAAAAGCATGCATCTGCAATAATATTATTATTTAACAGGTTCCACTATACTTATACGCATATTTATTTTCACTACACATGAGAACATATACACTACAAAGGTCTACTGTACATACATTTGGATTAATTCAGCAGGTCTCACTATTACGCACACAAAAATGCAAGTACACATCACTTCAACAGCAACTTGTATTATCATAAAATAAATTAAGAATTTCTGCTCATAAATATGATTAATAAATGAAAATATGACGCTTATAATCTACATTTTACATTTAATGCATCACATTGATACCACAGGAGTATAGTTCACGTTATTTACTCTCGGCGCATCATTCCGTTCCAGTTTATTTTGGTTATGGTCGCCTTGACATCCGATACAATTGGTCAGTTGAACAGAGCCATTAAAGGGTCTCCTAAAATTGTTAGCAAACAATATTAATAGCTATCTTATATATAAGCTATATCTATTCACTTAATATTTCTGCATCTAATCCATTCAAGCCAGGTTACATTCGTATATTTTGTACATTGAATGTTAAAATTCATTTAATATTTTTTTTTTATAGAAATATATTTGTTATGCATACATTTTTTTAGGAAAATTCTTTAAAAATTTATCTGCAATACCTTTTTTGTGATGTTGACATTTGATTCATTTTTTTTTAAATCGACTATTTGTGAAGTAATATTGTTAAGGATGGTAAAATAAGTAGTATTTTATCAATAGGCCAGATTTAGTGACAAATTGCATTACAAATGTATGCTTGTTCTATAACTTGACCACTTCCTCTACCCTTCATTCACCACCCTATTTATACCTGGAATGACGAGGTGGAGAATTGATATATAACCTAGATAATAACTATAAATGCAATTGATTGGCCGTTTGGATAGGAGCCACACTTTGAATGGGACAATTTAATGGTCGACGGCCGATGTGGTGATTAATCAATGATAATGATAAGAACGATATATTATATCGGAATCGCATTAAAAAGTTTGTCCTTGCAAAAAGCAAATTTAAAAAACAATAAAATAAGGTTAAGAGGTTTATCACATGTGTCCATTTGTCTATAAAATTATTATTTTTTATCACTTAATATTTAAAAAAAGAAAAATCTTCAGTCAAAATTTGAAATACTGCAAAACATACCAACAGAAAGTTTTAAAACTACTTAGCAGAAAAAGGATTTATATTATAACTCGCACAAGATATTTGAAGGAAAACCATACATTCAGACAAAATCTCGTTTTGCAATGAGTATGAACAAAAATATAATACATTAAAAATTCATAAACCATAAACATTTTACTTGTGACCCATTAAGGTTGTTCAACGATTGTAAAAAAAATATAGGGTCTACATGTTTGAACCTTTAACAAAATAAATACTATAAACATAAATCTGCCAACAGTAATAAACGAGGATAAGAATAACAGAAGAATCTGGAAAGTCATTTATCGATACTGCAATATCGAGATAAATACATAAAAAATAAATCCAACCAGGTTACGTCCGTCACACATCTATTGGAAATGCAAAACTTTCGAGTGTTTCGGAACTGTTCAAGGTCTATAAAGTCGCTAAATAATCGCACTAATTGTCCTTTCGACGCACACCACAGCTGCTGCGTCTGGTGAGGAATGTCCGAGACATTGACCCTAGCCCCTGGTCAGCGAATGGGCAGTGTCGGAGTGTGTGAGCGGCGTCCCCCGTGGCCATACAGCGCGGACACACGTACTTCCTCAAGATCGGACAGATGACTTTGCCGTGGGTGTCCTTGAGCACATGGGTGGTGTAGAACTCCCGAGTCTCTCCGTTACGTTTACACAACACACAAAACATGTCACGTTTCACCATCCGCGTCATACACGTCGGTCTGAACTCCAGAAAACATCCCTGAGCTGTTTCGTCGTCCATATTATTGGTCACCTGCTGGTTCATTTCCTCCATCAGTTTAGCGAGTCTATCTACACCAGTCCGACTAGCGGGAGGTACACCGGTCATCGAGCCTCTCGGGGAGCTCCCGCCATCCCTCCTCTGAACGAACGACGACGAGACGCGGCCAAAATTGTCCCAAGAATACTCGGACATTGACGAACACCTCGAGTTGTTGGTTTGGAAAACGTCATCCTCTCCGGACGCGTGATCTCCCGTGACGTCCGACTGTGACCGATGGTCATCCTCGTCGTAGTGAACGCTGGAGTAGTCGCTACGGAAACAGTCGTCCCCCGTACGGCTACATTCCATGGACAGAAAATCATCAGCAGGGAGACTGGTCATTTGCAGACCGGCAGAGTAGCCGTTTAGGTTGTTGACCATCTGACATTGGATCCGACTCCAGCTGTCGGGCTCCGAAAATCTTTGTGTCGCATTATCGCTATAGCTGCTGGAAGACTCCGCAAGTTCGTCCAAAACTTCATTCTGGTTCTGTAGGAGTTTGCTCAAGCCCAGATAATCTTCGAACGGACTGTAGCTATCCATTTTCGGCAGTGTTGCTTTAAGTTGCAGAAGTACCGTTACCGTTAGGATAGCCGATTATATAGGTGGTCACCTCTCATTCCAATATAGGTGAGACCAGGATACTTTGTATAATCCTTATTAATTGATTATAAATAATTTTCCATTTTCTCTAATTTCCTTTAGAATTCTTCATCACTTTCTGTCAAGTAGTGATGATATATCGAACAAAAAAGATGAAGTAACAGCAAAAAGTGAGTTTATAATTAAATAAAATTAAACCAAATCTTCCTAAAATGGAATCGCCCAAATCGGGTTGCAGTGCCCGCCGGTCAGGCATCTCCATAAGTTGACAATACCCGTGCTGTCATCGTCAAAGCGTGATCCCCGTTTGATGTGCATGATTGGCTGCTACAAATCAACATGGGGTCACGGCCCGTTACACAACATCAGAGAACCCGCTAGTTGTGTAGCGTGAAGCCTGCCTTATCAAAGTAACGGTCGACACAGGGTCGCAGACAGGTGTTTCTATATTAATTTTAAAGAATAACTTTTGAGTTGTGAATTACCTAATAACACGGAATCAGATTTTTGTTACCTAAATCCGTCATAATATACTTTAAAAGGTGAAATATGTATTATTCATTACTTTAAAAACATTTCTTGAGAGTTTTGAACAATACAAAATACATATCAACATGCTTGATATACAATGTACCTAATTCTAGTACCCTGTACCCTGTACCCGTATCCTGTACCCTGTACCCCATACCCTATAAACTGTACCCCGTACCAAGTACCCTTGTAACCCTGTATCCTGTACCAAGTAAACTGTATTTTTACAGCATAATAATATATATATTCGATACGTTATGTTTCTTGATACACATATCTGACTCTAAAGTTAGTTTCACAATACATGTAGCTTTACGATGTAAATAGTAAATACAGTTCAAATATATCTTTGTTTTGAGCTGTCGTACGTTTTTGTATCACTGCACAGTGGATAACATCGTTTCTGGTGTTTAAAAAAAGAATGAGTGAACTCACAAATCGAATTTATTTAAACTTTGATTGATAATACCCGAAATTAAAGTGTTTTCCTCATGCAAGCAAACACATTGTTTTGCTACAATACACAACAACGTCTTGCGAAGCTGAACGATTTAATGAATTGTTTCAGTCTACGCTGTACCCTGTACCCTGTAAACTGTATTTTCACAGCACAATACATTCGATACGATATGTATCTTGATACACATATCTGACTTTAAAGTTAGTTTCACAATACATGTAGCTTAACGATGTCATTAGGAAATACAGTTCAAATATATCTTCTTCTTTTTTAGCTGTTGTACGTTTTTGTATCACTGCACAGTGGATAACATCGTTTCTGGTGTTTAAAAAAAAGAATTAGTGAACTCACAAATCGAATTTATTTAAACTTTGATTGATAATACCCGAAATGAAAGTGTATTTCCTTATGCAAGCGAACAAATTGTTCTGCTACAATACACAACAAAGTCTTGCGAAGCTGAACGATTTAATGAATTGTTTCAGTCTACGCTGTATCCTGTACCCCGTTTCCTGTACCCTGTATCCTGTACCCCGTTAACTGTATTTTCACAGCACAATACATTCGACACGATACGTATCTTGATACAAATATCTGACTTTAAAGTTAGTTTCACAATACATGTAGCTTAACGATGTAATTAGGAAATACAGTTCAAATATATCTTCTTTTAGCCGTTGTACGTTTTTGTATCACTGCACAGTGGTAACATCGTTTCTGGTGTACAGCGTAGACTAGAACAATTCATCAGAAAAAAGTCCCCGACGCCTGGGAAGCCGGTCGATTCCTACTTCCCGGCGTCGCAATGGTTAAAATACAAGATTCAGGAAAAGATTTACAATGATAATACTGAAGACAATATATAAAAAAAAACACGTTTCGTAGAGTTTTCAAAGAAACTGTTCATATTTTGTATAAAAACATCACGTTGACGTAGTTTAACGTCCAGTATAAATTGTATCAAACATATCCAAAACCTAGAGATATTTACATTTAACATTACCACGGACTTAGATCTAAGACTGTGACATTACTAAGCCAGTTGGCCTTTATATTTACTTCAGACAACATCATTATACAAGGCTTTCAAAGTACAGTTTTCTGTTTCCAGTAATTTCAACCATGTTCCGTATTATACAAAGTGGTAATCTACCAAGTTCAGCGTACCACATATTGTTTGGAGTACACCTTCTAACTGAGCGCTCTACGTCGGGGGCAGAATGGAATCCCCATATTTCACAACCGTAGTTTAATACACTTGACAGTAAATATCAAATACGTGTACAGTTTTTAGTTTCAATGTTTAAAAAATTGTTATTACAAATACTGTCTATCCATTATGTTCATTTTCGACCTTGCTGACTAATAATACTCTAACTTTTAGTGAGCTTTCCATTGTAAAACAATGTTACACCGAGATAATTGAAGGACTCAACAATTTCAATGTTTTTTCCCGCCAATGTAATTCTATCTGTCACGGCACGGCACTGTGTTGTATCTTTGAGCAAGATACTTTACTCCGCTTGTTCCAGTCTACTCAGCTGTAAATGAGTACGTGGTTGGACAGTGCTAGAATTGTTGAATGCTAGCTGTTAGCGCCGAAATGGCAGCTCCGAAGGCCCTATAACCACGGATAATAATTTGTGAGCCGCTTTGAGACGACCTACGGACTAGGTCGTGATAAAGCGGTATATATCTAGCTTACTATTATCTGACTATTTCTTGTATTGACTCTTCTGTAATTTCTGTTGATAGATCATTTAGTGACCATGATGGTTGTACTGCTTCCATTAATCTTCCTTGTCTTTTTAAACAAGTCTATAAACGTAAGATTTGGCAGTACAAGAGTGCAAATTAAAAAAAAAAATGAACTTATATCTAATCATAATTGGATAGATACTTTTTAGCTCACCGGGTCCGAAGGACCAAGGTGAGCTTATGCCATACCGTGGCGTCCGTTGTCCGTCCGTCCGTCCGTCCGTCCGTCGTCCGTCCGTCAACAATTTCTTTAAACGACTTCTTCTTCTTCTTAACCACTGAATGGAATTTAACTTAATTTTACTGGAATCATCCCTATGTGGTGGGGATTCAAAATTGTTCAAATGGTGGGACTGACCCCCCAGTGGGGTGAGGGGCGGGGCCAAAAGGGGGCAATTTGGCTATATTGCTACAAACGACTTCATCTGTAGAACTATGCACTGGATATCAATCACATTTAATCAAAAGCATTCATGGTAGGCAGGGATTCAAAATTGTACAAATGGTGGGGCTGACCTCCCAGGCTAAGGGGTGGGGCCAATAAAATGCATTACTTGGAATTGGTTGAGATCCCCACCATATAACCATATATACAATTGCTGAGTATAAAGAGAAGAATGCACATTTGCTTCCAGGATTCCTGGAACTAAGAAGTGGATATCAACCATATTTGACTGGAAGCAGCCCTAGGTGATGGTGATTAAAAATTGTACAAATGGTGGGGCTGACTCCCCAGGTGGCTAAGGGGCGGGGCCAAAAGGGGGCAATTTGGCTCTATTGCTACAAACGACTTCTTCTGTAGAACTGTGCACTGGTTATCAATCATATTTGATCAAAAGCATTCCTGGGAGGCAGTGATTCAAAATTGTACAAATGGTGTGGCTGACCCCCCAGGGGACTGAGGGGCGGGGCCAAAAAGGGTTATTTGGCTATATTGCTTTAAGCGACTTTTTCTCTGGAACCAAGAGATGGATATCAACCATATTTGACTGGAAGCATCCCTAGGTGGTGGGGATTCAAAATTGTACAAATGGTGGGACTGACCCCCTGGGCTAAGGAGTGGGGCCAAAAATGTGTATTACTTGGAAATGGTTGAGATCCCCACCATATAACCACATATACAATTGCTGAGTATAAAGAGAAGAATGCACATTTGCTTCCAGGATGGCTCTAGGGTCTGGCCCCCACCCTTGGAGACATAGTCCTTGGGCCATAACTTTAAAACGGTTGAGATCCCCACCCCAAAACTATATATACAAATGCTGGGCATTAAGAGACGAATACAGTCATGACATTAGAATAGACCCTGGGGTCTGACCGAACCCCTAGGAACCTAGGTTCTTAGTCACAGCTTGGAAACAGTTGAGATCCCCACCCTATAATCATATATACAATTGCTGAGTATAAAGAGATGAATGCATATATGCTTCCAGGATGGCCTTGGGGACTGCCCCACCCTTGGAGACTTAACCCCTGGGTCATAACTTCGAAATGGTTAAGATCCCCAACCCAAAACTATATATACAATTGTTGGGCATGAAGAGACAAATGCAGTCATGATATTAAGATTGATCATGGGATCTGGCCACAACCCTAGGGACCTAGTTTCTGAGTCACAGCTTGGAAACAGTTGAGATATCCACCTATAACCATACATTAAATTGCTTGGCATGAACAATTTAATACAGATTTGCTACAAGGATTGGCTTTGGGGTCTGGCACATTCCCTTGGATCTCATTTGGAGAATATTTTGCCATGATTGTATAGATATCCAGGTGAGCGATACAGGCCCTCTGGGCCTCTTGTTATAATTGTGACTCAGTTAATTAAGCATGTGATCGTTTTACGAACCTTTATCTATCTTTTGCCAATGAACGTATTCTTAGTAAAGAAGTAAATATAAAACCCAATGATAAGCCATGGATGACCTCTGAGGTTAGAAAAAAAAAAAAAGAATTAGGGATAGATTACATAAAATAGCAAGGTTAACCAAACGTTTGGTAGATATCAATAAATTCTAATCACAGCGAAACAAAGTTAATAATATGAAAAAGCATCCACGTGTTACTTTTTATGAGAATGTTTATGATATTATTGATGGGTACTCATCTTCGGATCCTAAGTCTTATTGGAAATTAATTAAAAGGTTAATTAAAACGTCTGATACTTCACAACCTATACCTTCCTTAGTCGATCCTATTATTAATGAAATAGTTACTAGAGATGAAGATAAAGCTGAATTATCAAATAACTATTTTTGTAGTATTACTAGAGTAGATGACAGTAACACTGATGTTCCGATTATTGAGCCAAAAACTGACAAACAAATTAGTTCAATAAGATTACATTCAACTGAAATACGCGATGTTCTACAGATATTGAAGCTCTGCAAGGCCTCGGATGGGGATGGAATCAGCCACCATATGCTAAGAAATGCTGCTCACACTGTTTCAGAACCGCTGTCCAGTTATGATGAATGCAAAAACTTTTAATTGTTGCTAAATTTAGATGTACCACGGAATTAGATTATAGTTTAGGCCTCGGTCACGATACAAAAATATTGCGCCTCAATTGACGTCATCAAATCAGTTTGATCTCCGGAAAGCTTGAATAGGCAGGACATCTTAAGCGCGAAAGTAACACCGACTTCCCAGTGACAGCATTTGTAAATATTTGGAAACGAGAGGATGGTACCCAAATGTCGATTTAAATATCCATGACGGCGCCTTAATCTTCTTTAAAAAAGATATTGTTTTCACAATGTCGGACTCTGAGGATGAAGCTCCCGACAAACAATTGAAGATTGTCATTATGGGTGATGGATCCTCTGGAAAGGTAAGGCCATGTGGCATCTCCAAGCAACTGGCTCGCCTTAGATGTCTAGATCATGCCACAAGTGTCAATTTCTTAATTGTAGGCCTTTCAATAACGACCAAGTGTCAGTCCTTTATATTTGTTGTCACTGCTGATTATTATTTTTGTTAATTTCTGTATTGTACGTTGCACATTCAGATACATCAGTTATGTTCACAGGAGTTCAGACAGACGGGTTCGTTTGAGACCTTTTCTTGTAAATAACTAATATTGATTTTAAAGTTCAATGTAGAGTAACCTAATGGCCCTTAGGTTAGAAAGTAACGTAACTTTTGACGCGAAAGGATTCTTTTCTCTCTCGTCATTGTAAAAAAATGTTGTAATGCGGAGGCTACAAAATGACATGGAAATGACCTTTCCTTCGTGTGAAAATGTAATTATTCTCATGTTTTTGAACCTACAGTCTGTTTACAGGTACTCATATTTACCACATGGTTATGCCTGAAACGATTTGATCGTACATTACCAAAAGTAGTACAATCTCTTGAAATAAAACATGTACACTCTATTTACTTCCTCCTATAGAGATCCAACATGTACATTCATATATAGCTGCGATAACGTAGCTTTCTGACGACGAGAGATCTTTTTTTGATATATTGCGTCGTGCAGAGGGGGCCGGGTATTAATATTAGTACTAATATAGCCCCTCCTTTGAGATCAACTATGTTGTACTTAATCTTGCCCCCCATCCCATCCAATATTGAACGTGTATATATAAACCCTGAACCTCATTGTTCTGAGATCCAATGTTTTGTAATTATTGGACATAGGATTACGGTTGCCTTCTAGCATCGCACTAATTTAGAGGGTATTTTCCTTAAGCTCAATTGGTAGACCTACATGTATACTAAATTGGAAGCTGTGGAACTTGCGATTCAATCCTTGGTGAAAGCACAATATTTTCTTTCCTGTTACAAATGGTGTTTTTGGCCATCCTTGTGGTGACAGGGAGTTAGAACCTGGGTTGTTGTGGTGTTTCAAAGCAAACACATTTAAAAAAGGGGGGAACATTACAGCAGATTTTAATTGTTAATAAGATAAAAGTCGCAATATCAAAGTTTTTACACATTTCAAAGCTGATGAATCTTATTGAAGATTAAAGTTGTCTTCTAGTTTCGAGCAAGATGGAATCTCCCTTAATATCGGTAGAGCAGCGTAATGGGAAGCTGCAGGAGGTCACTGATTTGATCCCTAATGGAAGCACACAACTCACTTCTCTGTTCTATTTTTAACAGAAAACCATCCATTGAAATTCCATGGCTGGCCTGCATTCTCTGCGCCCCTGGAATATGTCATGATGAAAATCAAAGGCACATGTTTCACTATTCGATTGGTTTCAAGTGAGGGAAAAAAATCAATTGCTAGGCTGATATCTGTCCTTTGAAAATTACAAAGGAGTGCTACTAGACTTCAAAGTTGATCAATTTTACCGTTACGCTGCAGCACGATTCTTTTATTGTACATCAAAGGATAGTGAAGTGGCAAATGCAGAGCCTTTGATTTTATCTTTACCTATTCAAGAGGTGCAGAATATGCAAGTGAGCATAACCCCTGGAATTTGGCCTACACCTCATCTGTGATCCAACATGAACATTAATTTTATGTTGACCCCCATCCCCCGTCATCTAAGATCCAGCATCTACATTCCTATTTCCTCATTCTCATTGAGATCCAACATGTGAATTGACAATTTGCCATAGCATCCAAGATCCAACATGTACAATCATATTTCTAAGTATGATAAAAGCGAGTGTCGCCCAAGTCATCCAATCATTGTACATACTTCGACTTGTAAAAGATATTTTCAAGATAATCAGAAATGAAATAAACTGCAGAGTTTGACTCGTTGGGTAAGTTTTAAATACTGTAAATAAACTTTGTTACACATTGAAAGTGTGACTTTTGCCATATTGATCCTGTCATCTGTAATCTCTGTCATTTCAGACGTCTATAGCTACCCGATATTCCCAGGAGCAGTTTGGAAGGCAATATAAGCAGACAATTGGTCTAGATTTCTTTTTGAAAAGAATAATATTACCAGGTAATTAAACATATACAGAGGTATATTATATCTTATTCAAAATAGACATTGTTGATTGAAAAGCCACACTGATTGTATGTAACAGCACATCAAGCTATTAGCTTTTCATATGTCTCATTCAATGAATGGGAAAAGTAAAGTGTTTGGAAGTGGATGTACATATTTTAATTGTACACTTTAAGGCAAGTATATAGCTGATAGCTAGGGGGGCAGTTGGTTAGTGTTTTTTCTCCGGGAACTCCCGGACCCTAGCTGTTAATAGGACGTAAAACACAAAGAAACAAACAAAAGAATTCTATTACTAAGGTCAAGACTTGCTCACATCACCCTTGTCTGTAAAATTTATTCATTATCAAGATTTTTTATAAAATGATGCTATCCATGGTTATTTTGAATAATTTTCCATTTCTTGGTGAGCTTTCTATATCATAGACCAGACAAGTACTTTGGCAACATTCTCATGACCAGTTGCTCAGATTACAGATGTGTTAGACTATCAGACTTCCATTTTTTTCAGTAGACAGAAAAGTTGCTATTTGCTGCCATAACATAAAGCATGTCTTTGATTTATTGCAGGCAATGTCCATGTAGCACTGCAAGTTTGGGATATTGGTGGACAGACCCTCGGGGGAAAGATGTTAGAAAACTATATATATGGTTCCAATGTAAGTATTGGTACCAAATGAAGGCTGAGCAAAGAGAAATCAATGTATAGAATCTTTATTTAAGAAAATCAATTATCTTCATAAATTATGCTTTAGAACGTAATAACTGTCAGTTTTGTTCCTGAAAATAATTGTTTTATGTTAAATTTCTCGTGATAAGGTCATTGGGCATAATATCGCTGTCCTCATTTGTAAGAACGTTTGTTCACCTTTGTGAAAGCTCTAGCCACTTCATTTCTGAACACATTTTTGTCAGACTTTGTGTTTTGGTCAAGTATATGAGACTAGACAAAGTTTGTGTTTAAGAGTACCAAGGTCACTGAGTGGAACTATTTATAAACTATATTTGCCATCTTTGGAGTGACTTTGTTTCTAAACAGATTTTGATAAAACTTCATAAGGTATGGGAATACCTTGAAGGATTTGTGTTTCAACTTTTTATAGTAACAGTCACTTTTTTGTCCAAAACAAGTCAATTTTTGATACCGTAGTCTTTATATGTCAGCAATACCAAAACAAAAACAACAATATCATATTTTACAAAAGAATACTTTGTCACTCTAGTGACTTTCTGAACTATTTTTAAGAACTAAAATGTTTATGTGCAGATTTAGAAATGTACGGCTTCATCAAAATTCATTATCTGAGAATGAATTTGTGAGTGCTATGTTTACATAACTAGTTATTGTTGACACACAGTATATAGCCTGTTACTCTCTGTTGAACATGCCAGGAGATTTGTATCAATGTTTAATTGTTTTGTTTCATGTTAAAATATAAATAATTACACAAATAAAATAACTGTTAGTTTGATATTTTTTTTCACTTTTTTTCAGGGAATCGTCTTGGTCTATGATATAACAAACTATGCAAGTTTTGAGAATGTAGAAGACTGGTATAGTTCTGTGAAAAAGGTTTTTGGTAGAGACACAAAAATACCACATATGGCTTTAGTAGGAAACAAAGGTAAGGGACAGAAAAGACGATGATTTGTTTTTGTCAGGTAAATTGGCTGTAGTCATTGTTGTTAACAGCTGTGTCAGGGATTGCATACAGGTGTGATTAGCAGATAGGTTTGTGAAAAACAAAGATTGTTAAATATAAGTTATTTCATATATTGATCACATGTGTCCAGACAAGAAATGTTATGCTTATTGCTATGAGAAACAAGTGAGCATTCCTTGTTTATAATTTGTATAGGAGAGAATTACATCAAGTCAAATATTTAACAGGATATCAATTTTAACCATGTGAATTTTGCCTTTAACCTAGGAATAGCTAGCTATAGTACGCTGTGTATCAGGTTATATTTTTTCCTCAATGTAAAGGTAAAAAAATGATGAAAGCTATATGGGGATGAACAATTCCCATTACATTCTTGTACACGTATATTGAATTTAGATTGTTTTTGCTTGCCTGGCTCAAATGTCAAAGTGAGCTTATGTGGTGTAGCGGCATCCGTTGTCTACTTTCTTTTAAATGCTACCAATCTAGAATAGCAGAAGGGATTTTGACTCGAATTGGTTTGGAAACATCCTTTGGCCAAAAGGACAAAATGTTTTATAAGGAAAGGGTGTGGCCTCCCTTAGGGCAGAAAGGCAGGGTCCAATAAGGGAAATACAGCTAGATGAATCTTTAAAATACATGTACTACTCTTTAAGCATAGCTGAAGAGATCTTGACCTAAATTGTTACTGAGCATCTTTTGGCCTTAGAGATTTAAAATAATAATAATAATATTAATATTTATTTGAGATTCTTATATACCGCTTTAGCACAACCTAGGTCGTAGGTCGTCTCAAAGTGGTTCACAAATTATTATCCGTGGTTATAGGGCCTTTGCAACCAGCCAATATCTTTCTCAACTCCCTGGGGAGCATACAGTCGGTGCTGCCATTTCGGCGCTCACAGCTAGCATTCTCCAATTCTAGCACTGCCTAACCACATACTCATTTACAGCTGAGTAGACTGGAACAAGCGGAATAAAGTATCTTGTATCTTGCCCAAAGATACAACACATTGCCGTGCCGTGACTCGAACCTGCAACCCTTCGGTCACGAGCCCGGCACCCTACCACTAGACTACCGTGCCTCCATATATTTATGGGGGCAAAGGGGTGAGGTCAAATGGGGACATATAGATAAATCTTTAAATAATATGCCTTGAGTAAATTAACCCCATTTGGAGTTAAAAACTTGTGTATAAGATATCTCACGAATCCCTGAACAGATTTACAGTATATTTAAATTACATCATAGTATAGTAACATCAAGTTCTGCAGCTGATTATATTTTGGTGGTCATCAGTCAAGATTGAAGTGTTAAAGGTTACATTTGACCACTTTAGAAGTAAGGGTTTCTGTTGATGTACAAGAGCAAATTCTGGTTATCTTTCCACTGATGCAAAGGTAGCAGAATTTGACACAATAACTAACAGTAGAAACACTTCAAATTCTTGCTAATTTTTTTAAAAGGTTTTGTATGTTTAAGAAAAGGTTAAATTTGTTTATGTACTGAATACTGTATTTGTAGAATTTTCTGTTTTGTTTTCAAATGAGGTATCTCTTTTATGTTTTTGTACTGATTCTGCTTGCAGTACTTGCATGAGAATGAACTGTTTTCTTCTAGAGGTAAACTTCTATTGATTTTTCTACTGCAGTTGACCTTGAACATATGAGGACAGTGAAGATGGATAAACACCAGAAGTTTGCCCAAGAGAAGGGCATGTCCAGTCACTTTGTTTCAGCCAAAACAGGTGACTCAGTAAGTATATATAGTACTGTTTCAAGCTGAAGGGCTGGTCTAGTCAGGATATCTCACACCGGTAAAAGTGTGGATACATCTCTCCAGGGTAAGAGAACAGGGTATATCACACCGGTAAAAGTCTGGATACATCTCTCCAGGGTAAGAGAACAGGATATCGTACACCAGGATAAGTGTGCATAAAGATGAAATAAGAAAAAAAACATGTTTAAGATATGAGAGATGTTTTTTACTGGATTTTCATGAACAAATGACACACTTTTCATGAATAGGAGTCATGGTGTAAATGATCTTTTCCAGGTGTCCCTTTGTTTCCAACGAGTAGCCGCAGAAATTCTGGGTATCAAGCTTACGAAGCCGGAGGTGGAGACCCATCAGAGAGTGATTAAAGCCGAGATTATTCAGTCTAATGAGGCGGCCGCCAAACCCATCACGACATCAGCCAAGAGTTCTTTCTGCTCTCTACAATAACACCTGATGTCATACTTCTAAAAGTTCTTCATTCAAACATTTCTACTGACCAGTATTTCATAACTTGTTGGTGATAGGCTGTGAAAACATTAATTCCTTGGAGTCAGTAAGAAGGACTTCAAAGTCATGGAGAGTGATATATGGGCACAAGACACATGATTAGTGAAAGTGCTACAACATATTTAAACAAACCCTTACACATGTGGAATGAATGAAGATGTTGTGATTTTTCTCTTTAGATCAGATGAAGGAATAATTTTCAATATTTTTGTATTCACTTTAAGCCTCCTGCAACAATTGTTGGCATAGAACGATCAGTAGGAAATATAAATTAACCTTTGTGAATTTAATTTCATTGGCATTCTTGTTTTTTTCTTTTCATTAATGGTATTACCAGTAAACTCAGGTTGTGATTTTTTTCCCAAATGTATTGAAACTTTCTGTACCGAAACGTATTGAGAATGAAACTTGTGACATCTATTGTGATAGAAACAGAAAATTGATGAATTGTGTTGCCTTTTAACTGTATGATTGCAAGTTTGATAATTTTGTATTGTTTGTCGTGATGAGTAGTCATTAATCATGACTGGGCTGTTTTTGTTTTGACTCTCCAATACCTGTTGCGTTAGTGATATATAGTGTAAGTCGTAATGGTTTCATCCTATCCAATCCCTGCCCTTTTAACAGAAATGCACCCACATGTTGATGCTGATACTGTTTACAATACACCTAATGTTGTTAACCCCCCACTCTACCCCACCCCATCCCACCCCACCTTCCTAAGTAGAGGGGAGTTGTCATAGTCAATATTGAAGGGTCAAAGGTCACAATTGACCACTTTGGGATAATAGATTTGTGTGCAAGATATCTCATGAATGACTTCGCAGATTTAGATCATTTACACCGAAGTATCATCATTGACTTCTACACCTGGTTATATTCTTGTGATCATCAGTAAAGGGGTTAAAGGTCACATTGGATCATTTCGGGAGAGGTGGTGTAAATCTTTGTCAGCTGGCGCTCCCTTTGTTTTTATTTGCCCTGTTTTAAGTCCCCCGCTTAAGGGTGAAAATATTACAAGGAAAAAACCATTTTGTTTTACACTTGGTGACAGTTGAGATGTACACAATTCTACAGTCATTACATTAGCACTAACTGTCCTGTAAAACAGTTTTAAGATATTCAGCGTTATTAGTCTGAATTCTGAATCTTGTACCAATTGTCAATATGTCTAAAAGTCTTAACGCTGGTCCTTAGATGGCAGAAATTGAAAGTTTTATTACATAACTTGGACTGACGTAGATCTATCAACCTGCCGTGCGTAATTATTACATAACTAGGACTGACGTAGATCTTATCAACCTGCTGTGTGTAATTATTACATAACTAGGACTGACATAGATCTATCAACCTGCCGTGCGTAATTATCACATAACTAGGACTGACGTAGATCTATCAACCTGCCGTGCGTAATTATTACATAACTAGGATTGACGTAGATCTATCAACCTGCTGTGTGTAATTATTACATAACTAGGACTGACGTAGATCTTATCAACCTGCCGTGTGTAATTATTACATACCTAGGACTGACGTAGATCTATCAACCTGCCGTTCGTAATTATTACATAACTAGGATTGACGTAGATCTATCAACCTGCGGTGTGTAATTATTACATAACTAGGACTGACGTAGATCTTATCAACCTGCCGTGGGTAATTATTACATAACTAGGACTGACGTAGATCTTATCAACCTGCCGTCTGTAATTATTACATAACTAGGACTGACGTAGATCTTATCAACCTGCTGTGTGTAATAATTACATAACTAGGACTGACATAGATCTATCACCCTGCCGTGCGTAATTATCACATAACTAGGACTGACGTAGATCTATCAACCTACCGTGCGTAATTATTACATAACTAGGACTGACGTAGATCTATCAACCTACCGTGCGTAATTATTACATAACTAGGACTGACGTAGATCTATTAACCTGCTGTGCGTAATTACATAACTAGGACTGACGTAGATCTATCAACCTGCCGTGTGTAATTATTACATAACTAGGACTGACGTAGATCTATCAACCTGCCGTGTGTAATTACATAACTAGGACTGACGTAGATCTATCAACCTGCCGTGCGTAATTATTACATAACTAGGACTGACGTAGATCTATTAACCTGCTGTGCGTAAATCCTTTTTGTGACTTGTTTGCTGTGATCATGGTTGGCCTGATCAGCTCGATTTAGAGAGTGATGTCATATCAGAAACAAATGTGTGACGGAATATCTCCAGAAATGACAGCTTAAGGCTAGAATTTATAATTTTAAAATTATAATAATAACTCTTTACTCCAGCTATATAGTCTTAAATTCCTTGTCATAAGGAAAAAAATACATGTGTATGCTAGCATATGTAACAAACTAATTCAGGAAACAATGACACATAATAATGAATGAATACTACTTGGTATTGAGCTATTTTATTGCAGGCATACCCCTCCACAATTGGTCCTGTTGGATCAGGCTAGATGTTATTCTAAGTCAAAATTTGTTCACACCCTGTAAATATTGCACAAGTACTTGTATATATATCATGATTTTTTGTTTTCCTATCATAATTCACCATGTATTCAACTCGAAATGACTTTGACGGGTACCAAATGTTGAGAAAGTGATCTGTTAAAAGTGACGATGGCGTTTTATGTCCAATTTTAATATGATGTTCTGCATAGAACATGCTTTTCAAATATGTGTGAGTTCCATTTTAAAAGACTTGTACCTCTTATAGCCGACACAAAGCAAAAAATGGTGTAGTTATTACTACAACATAGAATTGACCGTTTCTTAAAAAATTTCAGTTTAAAAAGCAGCTAAAAATGTATTAATATTTCTGACCTTGTACACTGTTGTTGGTAGAGTGAAGAATTAACAAAGTAAATATGTTCATTATTACAACTGTTGAGTATCACTAGCGTGTTATCCTGACGTAGGGTACAAGGTTAGGAGTAGAACATTACTGGTATTGATAGCAGCGTGTTAACCTGACGTTGGGTACAAGGCTATGTAGCGTTGTTAATGTTGACATGGCTGTATGTAGCGTTGTTAATGTTGACATGGCTGTATGTAGCGTTGGTAATGTTGACATGGCTGTATGTCGCGTTAATGTTGACATGGCTGTATGTAGCGTTGGTAATGTTGACATGGCTGTATGTAGCTTTGTTAATGTTGACATGGCTGTATGTAGCGTTGTTAATGTTGACATGGCTGTATGTAGCTTTGTTAATGTTGACATGGCAGTAAGTAGCTTGGTTTTTGTTTTGTTATTTGTTGTATGAGTTATTGATATACAGTAAGTAAGGGCAGTTGTTACTTGTACACGTGTAACTCGCCTATTTATGTTATGAACAGTTATATACACATATTTTAGATGCATGCAATTTTTTGTTATTCATGGGTAGGTCAAAGCTTGTGATCTTTTGTGTTACCCATAGCTTCATATTGTTATATAGTTTTACACTTGTGGTGGGTTAGAGCACGGTTGCCTTTCTAGATCTCGTGTGTCACTTTCTCCTGTAAGAAGAGTGCATGGTTTTTGTGCTTCCGTCCAACATGCTCACAACAGCTTCAGCAGTAAATTATTTATTTACGAATGCGTTCACAGATCACCTCTGTGAAAAGGAAGATTTCAGATTCCTTTTCAGTTCAATAAGTCGGTGGTCCTTGTCATCATGAATTTATGTTATAATAAATTTAAAATAATTTGGTTTGTTCATTTAAGTTTAGATTTTCCTTACACCAGGTAACTATTACTCTAGCCTGATAAGACCCTGCAATCAGAGAATTTAAGTATCCTATGGTAATTACCCTTTCTGTCGATCATATTTTGATATCCACATGATGAACTTTCCCAATTATTTAAGATTTTAATAAAATTTATTGAGCATGTACATTGACAAAGTTTGAGCAAAATCCACACTAATTAATTACAACTCTACTCCCAGGTTGATCAAGTTTCTGAAAAATGATAATGTAATCAAATGTTACTGGGTTCTGAGAACAATTAGTCAACAATTATACAAGCCAAGTTGGCAAGAAATAATTAGGTTATATTTGGATCAATTCAATTGGAAGGGAGGTAACTCTTCTATCGTGATATTAAGATAATTATTTAATAGATTTCAAAATATATCTTGCTTCTACCTGTGTATTATTAATCTAAGCAAATACATGTACAATGTACAATGTACCGCCTTGTATAGGAGAGAAAAAATAGTAATATTTCTGGCAGACATTTGTACTTATTCACTCAACAAAGTGATTTTTAACAAAAATTTACCAAGGAAGGTAACTTTTGTAGCAGCAGGTACAATGTACAAAGGTCAATGCAAAATATTTTTACTTTACTTCAAAACTAGTTTATTTCTTACCATTTTTTTGGCAAATTTGGTTAAACAGACGTAAATATTTTAGTGTACATTCCAAATGTAGACAAATTATTAACAATAATTTGTACTCTAAATATGGTACCATTCCCATTGGAAATTCTCTGAAAATGAACAAACATTCCATCATCTGGCCTAGTTATGATAGGTGTACATGGTGCTGGTTTATGACATGTACTCGTAGGGGCCCGGGTCATTGTTCTTGTTTAGACGGCTAATGAAGAGGGGACGCATGGATTAATAGGTAAAGGTTACAGATGATATATGTCAGTTTCCATGCCCTTCAATTCTCTTTGGAACCCCAAAGTATACAAACCCCATACAGATGTTGATTAAAAAATATAATGATATTGCTTAATAGGTCAATATAGCTCGAAGGTTAAAACTTCCAAGTAAGAACTTTTCATGGAATTTTGCTGTGGTTTTTATTCGAGACCTTTACTGAACACAGTTTTTATTCGAGACCTTTACTGAACACAGTTTTTATTCGAGACCTTTACTGAACACAGTTTTGATGGGACTCTTGTTTTAGGAAGGTCAGGACTGCAACTATTTGTACTTTTTGATCAGCTTTGTATTTAATTTTGTTAATGCTTTGATCTTTTATTGTCTTGTTGATGGCCTACCTCTCCAGATCTAGTAAAGTATAACAATAGAAAAGGTATAACAATAGAAGTAGGATGTTTTAAAATGAAGCAGGGTTTGTTTTCATGGATGCTTTCTGTAATCTCATTAGTCTACTTCTTACTACAAATGTATAACATTGTACTTTTTCCCCCTCATCTCTATTGAAGTATATTTCTTGTATATTAGGATGTAGAGGATACTTACACAAGGCGTATACAATATTGAAATATTATTAAAGCTGGAAGGTAAAACGAAACCACTACCCGTTCCGTCTTAGCCGTGGATTTGTGATGTCGTCAAATATTCCTCATGATGTCACTAATGCATGGTACATGTATTACTTATTGGAAGTTGAAGCGATGGTGTGATAACATTGTATAAGAGCTGATGATTGTGGTAAAAACAATTATTTGCAGAAAAAAGTCCAGTACCAAGTTATCAGGGTTTAATATAAATTATAACCATATCAGTTACATAATCATGTACTTGGTAGTTTTTATACGCCCGTCAAATTTGACGGAAGTATTATGGTATGGGGTTGTCCGGCGTAAAATTTTATACATTTCCTCATACATTTTTCGACCGATCTCTTTGAAACTTGGTATACATTATAATCATGATATGAAGTTGTGTCTCCCTTAAAAGAATTTTGATTCAACAATATTTCCAAAAGTTATTGCCCTTTGTTCATTTCAGTATTTGAATTTTTGTCCGGAGATCTACTTCCAAATTTTTTGAAGGATTTCTTTGAAACTTAGTAGGCTAAATAATCATGATATGTTGTTGTGTTTCCTTGAAAAGAATTTTGCTTGAACAATTTTTGCAAAAGTTATTGCCCTTTGTTCATTTCAGTATTTGATTTTTTGACTGGAGATTTTCTCCTACATTTTTTATAGCATGTCAGCTAACCACTCTTAGAATAATGCATATCTTATTTCAATGTATGAAAGTATATAACACTATATGGCATTCGAGGGGCATATAGTGTTCCGCCCCGTGGTACTCTTGTTCAGTTTATCATAGTCGGGGAATAATAAATAATTTCAATTAGAAAATATATATACAGACTTTGATTATATAGAAAAGAAAAAAGGAACACAAAGTACAGATAATTTTTGAATATTTAAATTGGTTTAATAATTATTACAATAGTTGAGTCTCCTTGAATACATACTCATGAAAAGTTGATTGAAATCTGGATATTATACGATGGCCAGACCTGTGCAGTGCAATTAATTTGTTGGTTTGTAAGATAATTGTCACAATAACTTGTATTTTTTTGTGTGAAGCACCCTCAACATTTCAGATGTTAGTTCCATCACGGTTAGACTTTGTACGGTTACCTCAGCAGTGGTAAGCGATGGTCGTGCAGCACGTTAAATCTATTTAAGCTTGCAAGTTCTGTGTGTTACGCTCCAGTCCACTTGTTATTCAATTTAGTACATGTACTATAGAACTAACGTTTATGTTCAGACTCGCCTTGTTAATTTTAAACCTTATGATCATGAAAAAGGTTGTATCCCACTTGATGATATAGAAAACATTGTTATGCTGTTCCATTTGTTCTCCGAAAGAAAAAAAAATGCCTTTATCAATAAGTGAGGTGGCATAGAAGCAAAAAACATTTTATCATGGTTTTTACTGTAATTGCCATACATTATTCCTCCTAGATAAGTTAAGAGTGAAATTTTATTTGTACCTGTAGCTGTAGGGAA